GTCTTTTAACCCGTACATTACGTGACAGTTTATACCCCTTCTCCCTCCCTCTCCCCCCTCTACTGTTCCCATGTGTTAGTCCTTTGTTCGCAGCCATGGGCACAGAGTCCAAATCTTGCACTGAATGTCTTCTCTCCCTTCTGATGGTAACCACTCTAGGTATGTCTTCCATTTCTTCCTGATTTCTGTGGTCTTGTCTTCCCATGTGGTCTTCCGGTTCAGCTTCTCAATTATATCCGACTGTATGAAATCAAACAAATAATTATGCCAGATTTCTACTGTCCACTTACTCTTGTCCTTCCAGCCTAGAGCAATCACTGCTTTGCTTGCTAGTATCATAGCTTTAAATATAGCTTGATTCTCCTTGCTTACTACTGGGTTCCCTATTATGCCCATTAGCATTAAGTTAAAGTTTATAGTCAGTGAAACTTTACATATTCTCCTTACGATTTTTAATATTATTTTTATCCAGAAAGCACTAACCTCTGGGCATTCCCACCACATATGGGAATTATAGTGATCTTTATACTTCCAGAACACCCCCTCAGCCTCAGCTGGTAAACTCCAAAGGGAACACATGTGGAGAGGAGGCTGTGGAGGATTTAGAAATTCCCCCTAATATCCAGCTGGTACCTTCCAGCCCTTACTTTAAACCCATTATTGCGAGTCCTATCCTCTGCTGCCAACAGGAACAGCTCCCTGCCTTCCTCTAAGTGACAACCCTTCAAATACTTAAGGAGAGCAATCATGTCCCCCCTCAACCTCCTCTTCTCCAGACTAAACATTCCCAAGTCCCTCAGCCTTTCCTCATAGGGCTTGGTCTCCAGGCCCGTGATCATCCTCATCGCTCTTCTCTGCATGTGCTCCATTCTGTCCACGTCCTTTTTGAAGTAAGGCCTCCAGAGCAGCACACAATACTCTAGGTGTGGCCTGACCAATGCAGCATACAGCGGGACTATGACAGCTTGTGATTCGGATGTTATGCCTCTGTTGATACACCTGAAGATCAGCTGAACTCTTTATGATGAACTAGGTGGCCTGTCAATAGATCCTTGATATGCCTTGCAAAACCTAATAATTTTTCTCATTTAAAAAAAATAATGATTTGTTAAGTGTATACAGACTTTCTTATGAAGTACTAAGAAATAATAGTTATTGCTGTTATGTACTGGTCCTCCTCTGAAGAAGGTTTATGAAACAAAAGTATTATGTGGAAATTTTGTTAGAAGACTCCATTTGACGTTGGGTCTTTATTGCAAATGCTATTGTACATGTTACAGAACATCACTTTTTTGGAATAATACTGTTGTCAGAGAATATTTTTGTGATAATACCATTATTAGAATATACAGATATTTTGCAGTATTGTTCTTTCTGTATTTAGTGTCTTGTAAACAGGGCTTTTCCAGTTTTCTTATAGTTTTGTGGCTGTGGTCCTCCCAATTTGGTGTCATCTGCAAATTTAATGAGTAGCCCCTCCACACTCTCATCCAGATCACTGATAAAAATATTGAAAAGTACTGGGCCCAGAACTGAGCCCTGTGGCACCCCACTGGACACCTCTCTCAGATGGAACACCATTGACAACTACTTTCTGAGTGTGGTTCTCCAACCAGTTCCCTATCCTCCTAACTGTCCTACAGTCCAGTCCACAGTCCTTTAGTTTACCCATCAGAACATCATGGGGAACCTTTTCAAAAGCTTTAATGAAATCTAGTTTGAGGTTAGGGGGCTGTGTGAAAGAAAAGGTATGTCCTCCAGTACTTGTGAAAGAGAACTGTCATTATCCAGTAGAAGTTGTAAGTCACGAACACTGACAATGTTTGAGTTGTATGTGTCCACTAGTGGTGTTCTGTTATTGCCTCTTTGGGGCCTGTCTTGGAACAGGTTTTCTCTGGGTACCATTCTGGCTTTGTTCATTAAATATACATAAGCTTGCATATAAATAAACAAGTTGTTTTGGGTTGTTGCTCTTACAGTAGGCACCATCTTGGGGTAGCATTCACTCCAATAATGAGAGACCATGTTCAATGACTCTTTGAAGGTAGCATCCCCCATATATATTTAAATACCTGTATACACCTTTGTTGATCTGTTTCTTGACTTCATCAGGTAGATACTTTAGTTCCAAAAAGGTTTGTCGTAGATCTCTCAGGTGAGAATCTCTTGTCTGTAGGACTGGAGCAGATGCAGCTGTAGCATAGAGCCTGGCTATATACAATGGATCGCTTGGTATGTTTAGGATGGTAGCTGGAGGCATATAGATATGTTTGTCGGTCAGTAGGTTTCAGGTATAAGGTGGTGTCTATGTGTCCATTGTGTATTTTTACAGTAGTGTCCAGAAAATTTATTTCTTGTATGGATTGATTCATTGTCAGGTTGATGGTAGGGTGAAAGTTGTTGAATGCCTGGTGGAATATGTCCAGGGCTTCTTTACCATGTGTCCAAACAATAAAAATGTCAACAGTGTATCACAGGTATAATAGAGGTGTGAATGGGTAGGAGTTTAGGAAGCATTGTTCCAAGTCAGCCATAAAGATGTTAGCATACTGTGGGGCCATGCAGGTGCCCATAGCTGTACTATTGATCTGAAGGAACAAGTTGTCACCGAATTTGCAGTAGTTATGGGTGAGAACAAAATGGCACAATGTGGTGGCAAAGTCAGCTTTGGTGTTCTCAGAAATCATTTTCCTTATTGCTTGTAGTCCATTTTTGTGTAGGATGTTGTTATACAGAGATTCCACATCCATAGTGGCTAAAATAGTATTCTCTAGAAGGCTGTTCAAAGACTGTATTTCCCTCAAAAAGTCTGTGGTATTGCACACATAACTAGGAGCGCTGATGGCATAGGGTCTTAGAACAGAGTCCATATATCCAGATATCCCCATGGTGATAGCACCTATTCCTGAGACAATGGGTATCCTGGGTTGCCCAGTTTGTATATTTTGGGTAGAAGACAAAATGTACCTGGTCAAGGTTCCTGTGGTGTGTCTGAAAGGATTTGTTCCTGGATGTGCAGGTGTAATTCCTTTATAATCTTTAGTTATTTTTTGTATTGCTGTTAGGAGTGTGCATGCGGCGATACTGAGCTGAAAAAATAACAGGCAAATACCTTATTGGTATTTTCAAGATTTTTTTTCAACCGAATATAAAGCTCAGTGTTGTCTAAAGCGATCTGAAATGGCTGAGCTAGAAAAATCCTGAAAATATTTGGGATTTTGGGGGGCCACCAGATTGCTGGTGTTTAAAGGGATTGCCTTCTCTTTTAACATTTTCCAGGTGAACATGCCACTTTGGAGTTCACTTGCAACGCAATGCAGCTTGCGAAAGGCATTTAAAGGGAACGCATTCCCTTTAAATGCCTTCTCCTCCTCCATTGGAATTAATGGAGGATAGGGACGCTTCTGTTGGGGCTTATAGAATCGGACACCCTGGTCCAATCTTTTTGAAACTATTGGGGGGGGGGGGGGTTGAGGAGAGGCACCAGCATCTATGGTGCAAATTTGATGCCTCTACCTCAAAAAACAGCCCTCCTCAAGCGCCATATACCCGCAAATCAATTCTCCATTATAACCTACTAGTCCGATACCTGTGCTTCACTACGGTATTTAAGTTCTGTAAATCCAGTTATAATACTGATGATGTGAAGTTTGAAATGTGACATTTGTTGTAGGAATTCTAACGGAGAAGATTGTAGTGTAAGAAATGAAGTGAGACATATGTACTTTTTTTTCTCTACCAAAGGACCTCTCTGTAGACCACATTGGTGGTTCTGCCCCCAGGTGCTAGGATCACCAGGCTGCTTGATGAGCTCACTCTGGAGCAGGCAACATAGAACTGTCCATTTAAGAAGCAGTTGTCTGTTAAGTCAATTCCTGTCACCTTCCACGAAAGTGATGGCCTCTTTACTTGTGTTCCTGGATTGTTTTGCTCATATGGAGACTGTATTGTTCTGAGCACCTCAGGGTGATCTTGTTGGTACTTGGCCTGTGCAGCTCAGTGGACTGCAGGAGTACTATGTGCAAATGTCTTTGCCGCATTCCTAAGTTGCCTCCTCCTGGCAGCTGCCTGTCCAGTGTAGGGGGGGGAGGGGGGAGGAGTATTAGAAGCCACTGTGGAAGCGGGGCTGGCAGGATCACTAAAGCGTTACTGCTGGGGTGGGCTCCCTCATGGCTTTAAGCACCCTGCGACCACTGCTGCACCTGACAGAAGCCACTGTGGAGGTGGGGCTGCACCTGACAGACAACCACATGTTAGGTGTAGGAGACAGAGGAAGTGTGTTGGAAGCCATCAGAGGCTAGGCCAGCAGCTTTGCTTCACCTCACAGGTGGTTCTTGACCACTCCTGATTTCCTCAACTGTCATTAGCTCTCTGCAGCTGACCAATCGGGGGGGAGGTGGTGCAGAGAGGCAGCTGCCTGGCAGCCACATTGGAATCCATGGGGGGAGCACATTTCCCCCCTTTTGACCCCCTTAGGGGTCGAATTTCTAAAAATCCTTTCTTAGCGAGCACCTACACCATGGTAGGAGCGCTCTCCCTGAATTTGGTGTCTCTAGGTCTAGCAGTTTGGCCTGGGCATTGATTTTACGGTGAGGGGACTTTCTTTTATATATATAGATGGGGACCATTGACGATAATATTTACCAAATCTGAATAGCATACCAGTATTGGGATTCAGGAATATCAAGAAATACTGTTATTTTTGGGATTCAATATACCAAAACCCAAAAAATACTGTGGGGTTGGGGTTTTTTTGCACACCCCTAATTCTTGTGTGGGATCTGAGTCCAGTTGTTTGTAAAACGCAGTATTTGAAAGTTGTCTTTGAGCATCCTGGATGTAGTCTGATCAATTCATGACATCAATGGCTCCACCTTTGTCTGTCCCTTTAATTATAACCAGTGTACGAACAGTAGAGCATCTCATCCTCAGTAACTTCTACAGCAGTACTTTGCATTTCCTTGTTTATGTCACACTAGAGAATTTAGTTTTTTGTAGGAACGGTTTCTTTTCCAACTTTCTGCTTCAATGACACATGCTTGCAATGTAGCAAAAGTTGCACACAAGATTAACACAAATACTGAGACCTTTTTTCTTCCTTCAATTGTACTTTGTTTACCACTTGGTTTGGGCAGTACCACCAGTGCTTTGCACAGGAACAGAAAGAAAAGGGGATAAAGTCCAATTGAACAAAATTAGATTCACAGTAACAGAGTATGTATGGATATACAATGGTAGGTGGTACCTGAAATGACTTTTGACTCCATGAAAAGGTCTAGGCAATCAAAATATTTGCTTCCTGGACTATTTCTCCTGTAGAGAAGCAAAAAGTGCTATTCTCACATCTTTCCCTGAGCTCATAACAAATAGCAAATTATTTTACATTTTAGCTATCCAACAGTCATAAATAAACCACTCTCCTTCACTACCAGTAAAGTAAAAAAATGAAGTCCTCAGACCAGTCTTAAAAATAACATCATACCAGAATTCAAAACCTAGTGTTTCCAAGTACAGATTTACAGATGTCCAGTGTAACAAATTTCTGCCTACCTGAGACCGAGTCTGACAGGATTTAGCAATCAATCTCTAACCTATATTATAAAATGAAGAGCCTCAAAGCTAGGCTTGACCCAATTCTAGAATAAAATACTCCTCCTATAACTGAAAGCCAGGTTGCCAGACGGAATCACCCTTTTGCAGGTTAAAACAGGTATTCAGTGCATTGTGTTCCTTTGCAATCGTCCTTGAAGCCCCAGCAGTTTTAACCGTTCAGCTGGAGGAGTTGCAAAGTACATTTTCTGCTCCTCTGAGTACTTCTCCTTCACTTCAATAACATCCCGGTAGCTCCAGTCCCGCCAGTGGAAATTGAACTTATCCAGTAGTTCTATTTTCTCCCCTTCTGTTCTCACACAATCAATAGGTGAATTCTGCTGCAAGAAGGGCACCTCAACATCTGGGAAAATCAGGAGAGCCCGGATGGCAAACCAGCCTCCATAACAGGGATGAATGCAGACACCATAGATCTTCTGGAAAGAAAGAAAACAGACTGAGAGCATCAAGTCAAAGGTCTGCCAGTACTTCAAATAGAGTGCTTTGCAGTAGGGAAGGAAAGCGAATTCAGTTATAACCTACGCACATAATAAGATTCCTATCCAAATGTACCATCTCTTAGTCAAAAAGTCTGGGCTGGGGGCCAGTTCTATTTATATTCCAGGCCATGGAAGTTCTGCCTTTAGTCACGTGGTGACAAAACAGCTTTGAAATGAGGTGAAAGCAGTTTGAGGCATAATTTCACACATTATTTTGTCCTAACATTGCTTCTGTTCAAATAAGTTCTTCAATTAATACAAAACCTGTTCTCCAGAGGGGATGAGTGTACATACCATGAACAGCAATTCCCTGTCCACACAGCCTTCAACCACCTGTCTACTGCCTTAGGCACCTAACTGTATAATCCAAGGAAACAAAGAACAACCTGCTAAATTTCAGCCTGATCCTAAGAATGCTTACTTGGGGGGGGGGGGACTCACTAAATTCAGTGGGGTTCATTCCCAAGTAAGGTGTGTACAAGATTGCAACTAAAGACTATTTATCCTAATGAGTGGATTTTATAAAATGTATATCCTACACTCTATTCACTAGGCTCAGACTGGCTTATGGCACCTTTTTTCAAATGCAAATAATTCTGTTCCCAAGGGGCTCATACTCTAAAAAATTACATGGTCTCCTGAATCGAAGAGACCAAACTGAGCAAAAGTGACAGACACCCACACTACACTATATACAGAAGGGAAGGGCTGTGGTTCAGTGGTAAAGCATCTGCTTAGAGTGCAAGAAGATCCTAGGTTCTATCCCCAACATCTCCAGTTTAACGACACTGACAATAGGTGATGTGAAAGACCTCTGCTAAAGATCCTGGACAGCCACTGCCAGTCTGAGTAGACAATAGTGACCTTGGCAGACTGATGGTCTGATACAGTGTAAGGCAGCTTCATATGTTCATGAGTACAACTGGCTCAGGTTCCATCAAAGGACAGTATTTTCTAAATAGCTATGTCCTAAAGAGCTGCAGAGCTGTGGGCTTTGCTAGGCAGAAAGCAGAGGTGAGTTTCATGACTGGTGGTGATAGTGTCAGTGAAGCTTTGCCCAAAGGTAGGTAGATCTTCACTGCCAGGTCTTGGAATGCTCCTTTTCTCCAGCAGTGCTGCCAACTGACAATAGCTTCCATAATAAAAGGAGCCAAAAAGCAGGAAGGGATGAGCAAGAAGCAAAGCTAAGCAACATTTGTCTGTCTGCCTTTGATTTTAGATACCATTCACCAAAAAATTATAGTTTGTTCTTACTTGGCCCTGGCTTTCCTGGAATGATGAATGGGCATTTCCTTGATGGAAAACATGAACTCTCTGTGTACGTGCAGAGAGTATATTTGACCATAATTACATGTGCAACAAGCAGAGAGGAGAAAGTCACAGAAAACATTTACAAAACATACCAAATCCTTTTAATGCGTGAAAATAAAAGTTACGTCTACCTATTTCTAACAAACACTACCCATTGCTTTGCATGTTCTGATGTAAAGCTTACCTTCTCTCCCCAGGGATCTTGCTGCACATCTTTCCTCTGGTAGTAATATGCAGCACCAGCTACGTGTGCTGCAGTCTGGGCCAAGAACCTGGGCTTCCGATTGGGCAGCATCTCATAATCATACATGATATCCATCCGCTGGTCAGCAAGGCTCTGGAAGAAGGAGTCAGCATCAGACCAGGGCTTACAAGTGAAATACATAATCTTATGCTCTCAGGTACCCTCACATTCTGTCACGGTTTCTAAAATTATGCCACCATATTTTATTTATTCAATGATCTGCTCGGGCGAGGTGAAATATGACTTTGAATATGTGGCCTAAAAACAACTCAAGCCTAAAAAACGAAATCTCTCCAACTCAGTGGATTGCTACAACAAGTGATTCATTATTTTGTAAAATTTACATAATTAAAAACTGCAGCTGCTGGCAAAAACGTGTGTTAATATTCAAAGTGAGGAAGTAGAAGGGGGGGGGAAACATTCTGGTGTATGCACATTTGTCATTGAAGACCTTAAACCCTTTACAATAGTTATCATGGTGGTACAAAGCTTGTCATCTGTTCCCTGGGTGGTTTTTGAGGGGGTGATTGTGTCGGTTATCTGGAAGAAACCATGCTAGATCACCACAAGCCAATGCTGTATTTGCACACTTGGCTGTCTGTCAAGATGTTGTGTTCTCAGTACCCACTGCCCTCATCTTCATTCTGCAGCTGGGGAAATAAGTCACAAACAGCAAAATCATGTTACAAAACATGACATCACCATCATGACAGTTAGGCACCACTCAGTCCTTGCTTATGAAAACCTCCACCCCCCAAGGGAAAATTTCATTAATTCACAGAATGTGAACTTGTTGAAATGACATGCTTGCCATCACAACACTTTTCCAAACACCTATACCTACAGTGCTTGTTACTTTGCTGGATTTACAAGATCAGTCACTAGGTTCCACTGTGTGCATAATGCAGATGATCTGGAAGAGGCAGTAGAATTCTAGACTGTAGGTCTTCAGACTGCAGGTATAGGTGTCATTTTTGAATGCTTCCCCAAGTACATGGAGGGACCTAGCATATCACAGAGAGGGCTATGCCAAACCATTTCCCATGAAGTTAATTGCATGCAGGGTTGTTTGTTCTTTAAATGTCAGGGAACATTTTAAAATATGACCCCTCCTCTGCAGTTTGAATTTTAGCAGCTGTGTAATTTGTAGAAAGGCTCTTGACTGCTATGCCCTCCTGCAGTTCTAAATACAAGGAGTGGCTTCTGTAACAAATAAATACATAAATAAATGGGACAGAGCAACTTCCCCATGAAGAAAGGCTAATGTGCTTGGGGGCTTTTAGGTCAGACAGTGATACACATGTGGCATTCGCTGCCAGAGGATGTAGTGATGGCCACAGGAATTAACAGCTTTAAAAGGCGATTAGACAGATTCATGGAGGATAAGTCTATCAATGGTTCCTAGCCAAGGTGACTGAGGGGAACCTCCACATTCAGAGGCAGTAAACCTCTGAATCCCAGAGCCAGGAAGCAACATCAAGGGAAGGCCTCAGCCTCTATGCCCTGTTGTTGGCTGTCCAGAGGAACTCGCTGGCCACTGTGTGAGACAGGATGCTGGACTAGATGGGCCATCAGTCTGATCCAGCAGGGCTCTTCTTATGTTCTTATGATGGGGGAGGGAAAAGTATGACAGAGATTTATAAGGATATGTGTGATGTGGAAGAAGAAGAAGAGATTGAATTTATACCCCACCCTTCACTACCCGAAGGAGTCGCAGAGTGGCTTACAAACTCCTTTCCCTTCCCCTCCCCACAACAGTCACCCTGTGAGGTAGGTGGGGCTGAGAGCTCTTTCGAGAACTGCTCTTTCAAGAACAGCTCTGACAGAACTATGGCTTGCCCAAGGTCATCCAGCAGCTGCAAGTGGAGGAGTGTGGAATCAAACCTGGTTCTCCCAGATTAGAGTCCGTGCACTTAATCACTACACCAAACTGGAGAAACGAGATACAAAGAAATTCACCTCTCATAGAACTACAGCTTTCCAGCATCCAATAAAACAGACCAGCACTAGATTCATGACAGACAAAAGAAATTACTTTTGTATACAATGCATAATTAATTTATGAAATTCAGTGCCACAAGACATGGAGACTATCATTGGATTGCTGGTTTTAAAAGGTGAATCAGGCAAATTCATGCAAGATAGTCTGCCAATGGTTATTAATCATGACAGCTAAACAGAACTTCCGTGGTCACAGGCAGGCACTTCTGAATACATTAATGGGGGGAGACAATGAAAAACAGTTACTATCATGCCTTTCTTAGGGGCTTTCTGAAGGCTGGGCACTCCTGGAAACAGTATGCTGGACTAGATGAACCTTTTGTCTGTTCCAGAACTCTTTTTGTGCTCTTATCATGGAAATTTAATTTATTTATTTGTATGCTGTGTGTTCAGAATCCTGCTTGGGGCAACTTACAGTTAAAACAATGTAAAAATATAAATACAAGTCATTAAAAATGACAAATTCCATATGTTAATTACATAGTTCTCTGGTCATCCACAACAAATTCATGACAGACGAGACTTTGTGTTAAGAACTCTTACCTCCCTAACCAATGAAAGGTGATAGAAAATGCACTGATCCACAGGATCATGAATCTTTTCCAGCAGCTGATTCTTCAGGAAAGGTTTGAAGGCTTTTTAAAACATCGCAGGCTCAGGAATGCTGAGTACCAAAAATGCCAGTGTGTTATCTGAATACGGCAAATGAAAAGTTGAAGGAAGGACTGCATTGTACCACCCTACCTTCAGAAAAGGGAAAAAATCATTAGTCCAGGACATCTGGATATTGATGATCTAAAATAGCATTCCATTTCCACAACTGGGATTACAGTCTGAGTACTGTAGGTCTAATAAAAAAAAGATCAAGATGGGTAGACTGCTGTATTGCAATTGATAATGAAGCTCAAGACAATGCATCCACCCGGACTGAATCGGGATTAGGTTTCCTGTCTCATTAACAATGTTGATTTCTCCACACCTATTACCCCTCTGCATATCAGAAGACCCTGATGCTGGGAATGATTGAAGGTAAAAGGCGGTAAAAAGTAAAAGAAGGTAAAAGAAGAAGACCCTGATGCTGGGAATGACTGAAGGTAAAAGAAGAAGGGGACGGCAAAGGATGAGATGGTTAGACAGTGTTATTGATAAAATGAAAGTGAAATTGAGCACGCTCTGGAGGACGGCAGAAGACAGGAGGGCCTTGCGTGATTTGGTCCATGGGGTCGTGAAGAGTCAGACTCGACTGTGCAACTGAACAACAAATATCTCACCCAATCTAATCATGCCTGCTATTGTTGTTCACCTGCTATTGTCATTTGCCTGCTAATGTCATTTGGTATCTGAAATCACTCCACTTTCCAACATATAGGACAGATGGATTCACATTCTAGCTGTATAAGAAGAAGTGAGCAGGGACACCTGAAAGCTCATACCCTGCCACATATTTTGTTAGTTTTTAAGGTGCTGCTGGACTCTTGCTCTTTTCTATTGTTATATTAAAGAAACCCATGATTATTAAAACCAAATACTCCCACCAGCCAGAGGACTGATCCTATGGCAGGGTCATCCTAAGGAGAGATACACCCTTTTAAGTCCATTAAAGGGAATGCGCTTAGAAGGGTGTAACTCTGCTTAAGGTAGCACTGTGGGTCTCCTAAAAAAACCCACGCCAGTGAAAATTTGCATGACTTCACTTTATTTCCCAAGATTCAGATATTCAAAGGATTGAGAATTTTCATTTGTTTTTCCAAAGACTGGTTTGACAAAAGTCAGAGGAAAGGTGCGCATATTTGGATTATTAAACCAGTGGAGTCAGGGAGTAGCCACATAGGAAACAGACAGGGAACTGTGCAAGCACTGTAGCCCCACCTAGTGTTCAGTGGAGGCTCTATCCAGACCTCCGGATTACTCAGTCTCCATTTCAGAGTCCTTACCATATATTTTTCAGACTTTCTTCTACAGTCATAAGAACTGGCTAGAAATTTAGTTGGGGGGAGGGAGAAAGGCACATCTGAAAATGCTGTGTTCCTTGCTAGAGAACAAATATGAACACAGAAAAGTCACACTACACAGGACTGTATCCAGAACAAATGTTTGCAAACGTAACTACTTAAGTATGTACACATAAAGTATAAATTATTATTTATATCATGATTTACTTTTGCAAAATACATAAATAGACTGAACTCTAAAAAAAGAATCAAACGAGTATGTGTTTGGTGACAGTGTCCACAATCCTTAATAAATAATTCAGTTTGATAATGCTAAGACAACAGCAGCATTCCAATGTCAGCTTCTAGTCCTGACAACAAACACTGACTGATCTGCAAACTATTTCTGAGACAATTATATCCCAATACTTAGTCTTCTTTTTATTCACATGTAATCCCATCAGCAGCAATTCCCTTCAAAATGCTGTATAAGTATTTATTAATTTTTAATTAATTTATTTTACTTCATTTACATCTTGCGTTTCTGTCCAATGGGGGCCCAAAGTAGCCTACATAATTTTCTTCTCTTCCAGGCTATCATCACACCAACCCTGTGAGGTAGCTTAGGCTGAGTGTGTGACTGGCTCAAGGTCACCCACCGAGCTTCCATGGCAGAGTTGGGGATTTGAGTCTAGGTCTCCCAGATCCTAGCTCCACACTTTAACCACTTCACCACACTCAAACAGGCTCTTTCCCAAATCTTCTGAGAAATTCCTTGTTACGCACCGTAGGTTTGAAACAATTTCTGCAAAAATAAGGCCACAGAGTAATTGAAAATCAAGTTCACAATCACATACTCTTACACCTCAAATGATGACATCATGGTGGTGAGTGCAGAGAATGGCCTGAAAGCTCCTGATGGCATGTTCTCACACTCTGAACTAATGAGAATTTCTGCTACAGACATACCCATGGAATTCCAGTAAGTCATAAACATCAAGACCAGACGGAGCTCTTCCACCAGGCTTTCAACTAAGGAGCAGCCCTACCACTGCCACCAACGATCGTGGTTGTGAGCCTGGGCCTGGCTCTGAGATCGAGCCATACCATCAGGCGACTTAAGAAGATCACCACACTGGAAACTGCTTGTGTGTTTACATACTGTAAAGGTAAAGGTAAAGGTTCCCTTGCTCGAAAGCCAGTCAAATCCGACTCTAGGGTTGCGGTGCTCATCTCCGTTTCAAAGCTGAAGAGCCAGTGCTGTCCGAAGACGTTTCCGTGGTCATGTGGCCGGCATGACTAAACACCAAGGCGCACGGAACGCTGTTACCTTCCCACCAAAGTGGTACCTATTTATCTACTTGCAATTTCTTGCTTTCGAACTGCTAGGTTGGCAGGAGCTGGAACTAGAGATGGGAGCTCACTCCATCATGCGGCACCCGGGTCTTGAACTGCTGAACTACTGACCTTCCACAGCCTGCAGTTCAGCGTCTTAACCACTTGAGCCACCGCAGCTCCTTTACATACTGTAGAACGCCTTAATTAATGAAGAAACTATCACTATGTTTTATTGTATTTGACTGTTTTAAATGTTTTAATGTGGATTTTATGGTATTTTTTACCGACTAATGTAAGCCGCCATGAGCCTGCTTGTGGGGAGGGCAGGGTATAAATTGAATTAATAAATAAAAATAAATTTAGAAAAAATAAAAACCCCAGGCTACGCAAAAAATAGAACTGGCAAAGAATGCATGCTTCCCTTCTACAGTTGATTCACAAAATATTGAACAATAATTGAAGACCTCCATTCTGATTTCTACTGCTTGCCAATGTGTCAGAGGAATAAAACTGTAAAAGCAGGGGTCAGTTAATTTGGTGTTCATAATCCAACTTCTGACATAGGCTAATGACACAGCATCTCTGGTCCTTATGATGTCATAAGGGTTGTGGGTGGCAGCAAACAAGCCACTTGGGACCTTCGCTTTAACCATCTGATTCATGCCCAAAGATCAACTAGGAGGAAGACCACATAGGAGGAGTCATGAGCAGAGGCAGGTAATGGTGCTCTGAGTCATACAGCCCAAACCTACGCATATTTCACTCAGAACCAACAGACAAGCAGTTATTCCATGTATTTAAAGACATAGCTGCCACAATTTCACAGAAAGAGAGTGGAGGTCCTAGTATGGCTACACGAGGGGAGGGATGCATGGGTGAAGGGTACTAAGCCCCTTCCCATGCCTCCTAGATACCTCCCTGCTGCCTAGCACTTTCCACCCACTTTCTGATACTGGTGCTCAGAAAAGCACTTAAGGAAAGGGACTGTGAGGTCAGCTCTGAGCAGTGAGAGGGTTCTGCACTTCTCATCTTCACATCCTTTTTTATTATTGGATAACCACACCCATATTCTGTGTTTCAAAGTATGGAACTGCCTCCTTCAATTCTAGGTTGGCCTTACGTCCCACTGAGTTCAATGCGACTTCCTTAAAAAATAAAATGTACTTCGCATTAATAGCATACTCAAATGTTTGCATGCTTCTTCACAAGAAATAAAAGCAAAACAGACTCAAAACAAAAAACTTCTCCAGACAAAGAAGAAAATAAAGTGTGGGAGGGGGTGTCCATAACCTGATAAATGCAATCCATCCTATAGGCAAAGACGGAGTAGCACTTTTTAGGAGTTATCCTACTTGCCTGCCTACAGCTCTGAACTGGCTAAGAGCTATAGAAGTCTTCCCATTGGCTCAAACTAATGTCCATTTAAAGTTTCCAAGACAGCCCACACACGTGAACTACCATTCCAAGTTAATAGGAAGAACCAAAGATATTAAACCCCTCCCATAAAGTAAACAGGATATTTAAGAAGCAGGCTCAATGAAACCAGGTAGCAAAGATGTATGAACTAGTACTACTAGCTTTTTCATAATGCTGGACTAATATTTTCATCTAGCCGTCCACCATCTTTGCCAAGAAGTACCCATCAACACTCCATATATGTCCAGGGAAGTCCAATGTAAACTTAGCTCAAATTTAGAATGAATTTGTTCACGTTCTCAAAGTGAAAAGTCTAGGTAGGCTTGAGGTATTCTCCACACAAACTACTTTATAACAGGAGGGGGCACATAGTCATAAACAGTTGTAAGAAATATTCCCTTCACCAGGTCACCAGAGTCTTCTGATCTCAGCCAAATTAATATTTCAAGCCAGATAATGTTTGTGTTGGCTTTTCAAAATTCTGAAATTTTATACATATATTTCAGATTCAGTTAATATAGTTAAGGTGGAGGTGCCAGGAATAAGATCCTCTAGAACCTAGGCATTGTGGCTCAGTGGGAAGGATAATGGCTCTGTGGGAGAGCATCTGCTTGGCATGCAGAAAGTCCCAGGTTGAATTCCCAGCTCCTCCAGTCGAAAGGATCGGGTAGTAGGACCTCTGTCTGAGACCCTGAAGAGCTGCTGCCAGTTTGAGTAGACAATACTGACCCTGATGAACCATTCCTGTTTCAAGCCACACATACATACTCTCCCCCCAGAGAAGGAGGGGGGGAAAGACTGAAGCCAGTCCTAAACCCTCAGCTCCCATACCCAAGACCTCACCACTGGGCTAGAAAAGCAGATGCAAAGGATGGATGCCATCAGGCATTAAGCACTCCACTGTTGCCCTGATATCACCAGCAGCCCTAAATGGTCTGGGACCATCATACTTAAAGAACTGCCCCTCCCACTACAATCCCCCACACTGCGTTCTTCATTGTGCATTGACATAGGCGTAGAGTTCAGGGGGGCGGAGGGGCGGGGGCTACCTCCGAAATT